CTAGGTGGTGTAGAGCTGGGTGGTGTAGAACTAGGTGGTGTAGAGCTGGGTGGTCTGCTCCATCTTCCTGGCTTTAGTCAGAACGCCAGCAGCAGCGCTTTGGGTCAGCTGGGACTTTAGTCCTTTAAAGCTGAAAATGTTCTTCAGGTGATAGGAGGCTGATTTTGTAACCATCTTTATGTGGCTCTGAAGGCTCAGAGTTCCTCCTGATCTCTGGTTTCCAGCTGTAAGAACTAAGAAGTGTGTTGATTCTGGGTCGTTCCAAAGATAATAACTCCAGTCAGAAGCAGAACCAACAAACCCAGGGATCTTACCACACTTCAGCTGAGCCGCTGATCCTTCACACGCCACAACGCGAAGCTTCTGGGAGCCAGCTGCAAATAAAACGCCGTCAATCACGAGGAATTAATACTAACGAGCAACGTTTCCACGCTTCAGAGCTCCCTTTTACCTGAAGTTATCAGCACACACGATGCCGCCAGGACTAGAAGAGAATAAACTTTTTATTAAAGCTTTCATAAAGAGCTGAAAGTTTAGCAGGATTCAATGGAAATTATTAAAATTATTAATAGTATTCAATCTGAATTCAGGCTGACAGTTTATAAATTCACGTACATATGATCCCAGTACTCAGAGTTATTTGTTGTGAAGATTAGAGAATAAAGTGGCTTTATTGTTTGGTTCATTGATTAATGATAAACTGAACTCTGTGAATAAATAAAGAGATTTATTCTTATTTTAGAGATTATGTTCAATAACCAACCAGAGAGTTTCAGTCTGGATTTAAAGCAGAAAAAAATGTTCTGTCCTGGTTTTATTAGACCTGAGAGTTGAGTTCAGGTTTAGTTCAAGTTAAAGGTTTATTGCCCTCAAACAGATTTAAGTTGTATCTTTTAGTTTCTATTGCAGCAATGTGTGGCGTTCCACAGGGTCTTAAACTTAAACCACTGCACATGACCTTACCAAAACAATTTATCTGGCAAATTAATTAACATTTTGAAATCAATATTATATTATACATTACATACATCTTCCCTAAAATAAACTGTATGCTGATGACTTTCTGCTATCATTAAGATTTTATGAAAATTTTAAATTCAGGACATTTATGCTGAGTATAATAAATGTTTTAAGTTTGTAATTTATTTTTAATAATTCTTTTTACCTTTTTTAAACAAATTTGTCGTTTTTAGAAACTAACTGATCCGGTTATTTATTAGTTTTAAAATCTGAGCAGGAAGCAGATCCAGCTGTGCTTCTTTGCATGTTTCACCCTCCAGTTACAGACCAGAGTTCCCAGTTTTCCACTGGGAAATCTGATTCCCACAAAACAAAGCATGAACTGCAGTAACTGTTAAAAATAAAAAAACTTTTCATTAAATATTTCAAACTCTTAAGTTTTTCTCTCTTTCAGCTCCTTGAATTGAATTTGTTAAAGCAGACTGAATTAAAATGTCAGTGTACTCACAGAGCGTGGAGCAGAGCATGATGGAGAGCCGGATGGATGCTGGAAGAAGCTGGCCGCTCATATTTAAGCCGTTCTCCGTTTCCGAAGAAGGGAATCCATCCCATAATCCTTTGTCACTTTCTCCACCAAAACAAACTGCTTGGTAAATTTGAGTCTGTGTTTATCTTGGCGTCGTTTTATGTACCATTCTCACGGTCAAACACCTGCTGTCATCGCCTGACACACATGCAGCAGCGTGCATTAGATCAGAAAGGGCTTGCTGCACGACTGGTGGATGGAAAGTGGAAATCTTGGAGCGACGACAGAATCAGGAAACGTTCAGAAATCATCCAGGAAGGCACAGAAAAACTCCAAATGACTTTAAAATGTTTGGTTTTCACAAAAAGGAAGAAGTTATTGAAAGTCACATTTATCCAGGAACATCTTTGCATTAATAATTGCACAATTTGACATTTTGAAAATAAATTTGCTTAATGGAAATATGGCAGTTTTGAAAAAACTTGTTTTTCAATAAAATGTTTTAGCATTAGGATGAGGTTATTTTTTTTATCTGTATCAAAATTGGTTTATTTCTCAAAAAAGCAAAGTCACATGATGAAGGTTTGTGGCCCTCTAGGAAAAAACAGACACGCCCTGAATAAGATGTTTAATTTATTCCTGAGAAAAGCAATATGGATCCCAAGGACTTTAAACTTTGGGTTTCTGTTCCATGTTGCAAAACGTTTGGACGCCAAAGTTCAGTTAAAATGTTTGAGTCACTAAAAAAGGTAAAAGTTTAAATTCTGCTGTAATGCAAATAAAAATAAATTGCTTGTGAATTAATAAAAGCTCCACATCTATTCACTGAAACATGAGGTTTTATTGTTTATATTATTATTTCTAAGTTTTTGTAATTTACTGAAATTCTATCATGATTTACCCATCTACTATTCAAATTAAATTCATGACTTAACAAAGGAGGCAGTTTTGCGGTAGCTTGTAAATGAATCCATGATTTTAAAACTGCATTTTGTATTTATTCAGGTTTTATTCAGTGAGTACAGAAATTATTCAGACCAGTTTAAATTTTTCACTGTTTCATTGCAGCCATTTTCTAAAACCAAAGAAGTTCTAATTATTTCCCATGAATGTGCACTCAACAGAAATGTAGACATTTTTGCAAATTTATTAAAAAAGAAGAACCGAAATGTCTCTTTATATAATATAATAGACTTTCCATATTCACTGCATGTTTGTTGGATCATCTGAAATATTTAAGAGTCTGGAAAACAAACACACTCCATCGTTTATCTGAGGTTTGCAGGTTTGGCTTTGTGTGTCTTTGGGTTGGACTTGAGTCAATAACTGTTACAGTTTGTAAAGATCTGTGTCCGTTCTGGTTTCACCTTAAAAGTAAACATCAAACCTGGCTGCACGTGAAAAACATTAAAAAATAAACATCCACAACCACATGCGTGTACAGTGTGTGTAGTTTAATTTCTCCAGCTGCTTTCAAACAGTAAAACCAACAGATGAAGTAAAACATGAGTGGATATTTTATGGAAATAAACATTTCCCATTCAGCAGTCACAGCAACAATTCTGTTAAATCTGAGTTTAAATCACACAAATATTTACAACTACAGCTACCGACTTCACCAGCTTCCTTTAAACAACAGATTTAATTTGTCTGATTTCAGAGTGAAAGGTTAAATGTTTTAAAGGTTTATCCTGTTTCACGATGGGTTTTGTTATTTCAAGCTAAACTTCTTCCCTACACTTCAAAAACACAATCCTACCCAGTAATTCTGGTCAGCTTTTAGTGTAAATATGTTAGTACACTTGAAATAAGAGAAAAATAACTTACAAGATAACTTTAGATGAGCTTAAGTAAATAATTCCTTAATATTGGTGGGAAAAATGACAGTTTAACTCAGATTATTTCACTTAAAACATTTTCTAATGTCAAATGAAATTATCTGCCAGTTAAACTAGTTCTTTTTTCAGCAATATTAAGGATTGCTTAAATAAGCTCCTGTTTCTTGCTGAAAAGTTACTTGTAAGTTAGTTTTTTCTTATTGAGTGTACTAAGATATTTTCAAAACTGCTTTTTGTGTTTTTGCAGTGTAGTTTCTGCCAGCCAACAGACGTAGAAACATGCTCACACACAGAAACACCCAACAAAATATGATTAAATTCAGTTCAAATAAAAACAAACAGGAAAAAAACGGTTACAGACACTTTTTGATGTAAAATAACAGTTAAAGCTTGCTAAAAACGTTAATCTGGGTATTTATGGCGTTATGGCTTGGATTTGACTGGACCGTTAGAGAAACTTGACTGTTTTCTAGCAGAAACCAGGAATAAAGAAGAAGCCGCCCGGTGGTTCTGAACGCCCTGAGCTGCTACCTTTGGGGTGTTGCTGCGTTACTGGCTGCCGAAGCAGCGTTCTGCCGCATCAGAAGGAGGAAATATTTCCCAGCAGCGCCGGCTCTTCCTGTGGTGAGCCTCCAGGGGGCGTTGTCACACCGTGGTGGCGCATCGGTTCCTGAAAAGCTCGTCAACGACGGACGAGTCGGCCAGCGTGGAAATGTCGCCCATATCCTTCTCGTCGCAGGCGATTTTACGAAGCACCCGCCGCATGATCTTCCCTGCAAACACAATGAAGTTTGTCTACAAGCGGATTACACTGCAAAAACACAAAATCTTACCAAGTAAATAATTGTTTGATATTGATGAAAACGTTCTAGCTCCAGTGGCAGATTGTTTTACTCGTAACATGAGGAAAATTTATTGATCTCAGTAAATTTATCTGACATTAACTTAAAACAAGCTCCTATATCTCGCTGAAAAGCTACTTGTAAGTTAATTTAGTCTCATTTCAAAATATTTACAATGAAAAATAAACAGAAATATTTGAACTTTTGTGTTTTTGTGCGGGAAGCGTTTACCGGATCGGGTTTTGGGAAGTCCGGGCGCGTTCTGGATGTAATCTGGAGTGGCAATGGCGCCGATCTTCTCCCTCACTGCAGATACAACAGAAACAGATCAGACTGGTTCTGCCCGGTTCTCACCCGGTCCTGTCCGGTTCTGACCCGGTCTGGACCCACCTTGCTTCCTGAGCTCGGCCTCCAGCGCCTGGCTGAACGCCACGCCGTCGTTCAGCGTGACGAAGCAGTAGAGGCTTTCTCCCTTCACCATATGAGGGCAGCTCACCACGGCTGCTTCAGCCACCGACTTGTGCTCCACCAAGGCTGACTCCACCTCCGCCGTGCTCAGCAGGTGACCTGGAGGGAGAGCAGCAGAACAGACACACCTTCACACCACGGATAAAACAGTTTCGGCTTCTTCATTAAAGTTCAGGTTTATTTTGGTGTGACCAATCGATAAGCTGTGATTAAAAAGTTTTCTGTTGTATCAAGATGGCCGACCGCCTTGCTATAACATGAAGGTAAAATTTTGCTTTATATGCTGAAATAAAAAAAAAAAAAAAAAAAAAACATTATATTTAAATTTGTGTGCCCAAATAGCTAATGCTAAATAATCTAGCATTAGCATTACTGATGCTAAGACTAGTTAGCATTAACATTAACCTTGGTCCTTATCCCGTTCTCAAATACTAAGTTATTTCTTTAAGAATTAAATATTTACGTGACATAATATATTAAGTTAGCAGGAAGAGCGGTAGTGACATTAGCCTTAAGTAGCCAGTCCTAGTTATCCTGACATTACATAGGTAATGCTAATTATTGGTAATGCTAATCAAGCTGGTTGTCCTAGCATTAGCATTAACCATCTAGTACTAGTTATCATAGCAATAGCATTCATTAACTAGTTATTCAATTATTGATGGTAATGCTAGTTATGCTAACATTATCATTGCCCATGTTAATGATAGTTAACATTAGCATTAAATGACTAGTTTTCCTAGCATTAGATATAATATCAGCTATCCCGCTAACATAACAATAATTGTTGCTAATGCTAGCTTTGCTACCATTAGTGATGCTAGTTAAGCTAGCATTAGCATCAGCAGCTAACTATCCACACTTAAATTCCACATATTTCAAGGCTCCAGGGTCTTTCAAATCATTACGACCGCTCTGATGAGAGCGCGTTTGTTCGGCTAACGACGCTTACCTGAGACATTCAGCATGTCGTCTATCCTCCCAGTTATCCAGTAGTATCCGTCCTTGTCTCTACGGCAACCTTAAGGTAGAAACAGGTGATGAGAATAGACCAGGGTGACTCCTGATCGGCTGATGCCGATATAAATAACCGCGCCTCACCGTCCCCCGTGACGTAATATCCTGGGAACTTCTTGAAGTACGTGGCTTCGAATCTCTCGTGGTTCCCATAAACGCTGCGCATCACGCCGGGCCACGGCTGCTTGAACACCTGCAGAGAAGCGGAGCGCCATCAACGCAAGGCGACAGAGGAAACATACAGCAAGACAACAACATATTTAATCCTGACCAGGTATCCTAGCTTTGCTACCATTAGTGATGCTACCATCACTAATGGTAGTGATGCTACCATCACTACCATTAGTGATGGTAGAGATCACTGGTAGCATCACTAATGGTAGTGATGCTACCATCACTAATGGTAGTGATGCTACCATCACTAATGGTAGTGATGCTACCATCACTAATGGTAGTGATGCTACCATCACTAATGGTAGTAATGCTACCATCACTACCATTAGTGAAATATGTTGTTCAGGATTAAACAACATA